TAGACGCATGTTTCCCACCATATATTAACATAAGCTCATTTAATCAAGACAACATCTTTGTTATTATCAAATAGAATAAACTCGAGTCCATCAATCTCTTGACATCCTCCATTAATTTGCCTCGTACTTGGTCAAATCCTTTCTATTCAATTTCTTAATACTGTCTTTAGTACTTAATAAACGAGTTAATTGGATTGTCCGATTTGATTGCAAATAAGACTACAATCCACTTCATATTTTATATTTGTCATTCTTCTCCAAACTGATTGACATGACTTATAAATTGATATATAATCTAATATTATAGGTGAGTATTTTAGATTTTTAGGAAAACCATGTTGCTTTTGTTATAATTAACTAATTTATTTGATTTATTTAATGCATTTAAATTAGTAAAATAGTTATTATATTAAGGATGAGATGGAGGTATTTGTAGTTTTCTTAATCCATGCTGCCTAAATGTTGTGTCTGAAGGGGAAATGAAAATGGAACAAGATACGCTTATAAGAATTATTTTATATAAAATTAAGAAAAACAATGGTAACAAATACTTCTCTTGTCCTATTTATAACTCACTTCTAACATATTTCACAAAAACCAAGAAAAATCTTAAATTTCATTAAATCTCATTTAAAGTTCAGCAACTTTTTAACTTTATCCTTATTTAATACACATTATATCTCATATAAACAAAATCAATACAATAATAAATGATGGTAAAATTGTACATGTATATAAAAAGTTTCTCTCAGTGCCATATAAATAGGACCAAAAAATGTCTTCTCTCTGTCCTATAAATAGGACCAGAGGAGTAATTAAGAAGGCAAGTCTAGTGCTGGTCATGTTATTTATGAAGCATTGAATAGGGCTAGGGTTGACCATACCTAACATTTGGGGCATAATCTTTGCACTATATATATAGCCTGATTAATTTGAGCCATTAATTATTTATCATTTTTTAAAATAAACCTCGATGACATGCACCTTGTTAATTTAATTATAGGCGGGCGCATGCATGTGTGAATATTTAGATTTTCAAGTAAGTGTTTTGAGAATTACAAGGCTTAACTAATCCATTATGATTATATTATTAGTGTATGACCTACTTTAACATGTGACTTACTAGGTATTAATCATTGAGTAATATGGGTAATCCAATTATAAACTCTAAACTTAATTAGGTCCTCAATTTTGTCTTTTTATATAGTTATCTAAGTTGGTTAAATTTGAATATTGTTGGGTTTAATTAGAGATAATTTTTTTTAAAATATTTTTTTTCTCCATTCACAGGAATCTAAACTTGAGATTTCGTGTTTAAAACATAGAAAACTCTTTTTCAATAGAGTTGGTTTGGATTTTGTATTTGCATGAGTATGAATAAGTCACATTATTCATCATTTATAAATGGTTGGTATATACGAAATGAGATGAAAATTTTAGATATGAAATGCCTTCTACGCTCTTGGATGAAAAATAATAACAAGAAATTTCTAATGAACAAAATATACCTCTGGTCTTAATTGAAGAGCTAGTTGACTAATTTCAAGAGATTAAGAAAAGAAGTTAAGTCAGTTATCTGTAATATAGATATATGTATTTCAAAATATATTGCTAATCAAATATTATTGAGAACTATATGTTATAGAAGAACTATCTTGAGAAAAAATATAAATTATGAGAGACAAAATGAATTGAGATCTTATATTTAAGACCAAAATAAAAGTCAAATAGGGTCATATATTAATGATCGGAGGGTAATAATAATATAACAATTTTTTTGCAATTTGATTTCTTAATTGAATGTGATGTTTTTGGGGGGGGGGGGGGAGGAAAATAAAAGAAAGGGAAGGAAATTAAATGAGAGATATCAATGGATGAAGTTAATTTCAACACCATGACTTTGCAAAATTGCGGTTAATGACCATGTTTCGAATTTTAGCACGTGACGTTTTTAAAGTTTATTTAGCCAATATATTTATATTCAGGGATTTCTTTTATTACATCCCAAATTTGATATTGAGATTTCAACATTTGATATGTGATAAGTTACAATTTATATTTAAAATTTTAACATGGAAAAATTTAAAAAAAACCAATAAGTTTAGTGTAGGGATTTGACAATTACCTTCCTTTTTTTGTGGGTACAATTGCCTTCCTAATTTTGACAGTCAAAGGTTCCTAAGTTACAATTTTACAATACGTTGATCATAATGAAATTAAATTAAATTAATACTACTTCTGGTTCTTATATAAGAACTAGTTGACTAATTTTAGTAGATTAAAAAATTAGATAAATTAGTTATTTGTGATAAATATATGTTGTCTTTCCTCAAATATACTTACTAATTAAGTAAATTAGCTAAAAACTATTATTATTACAAGGACTATATTAAAAAAATAGAAAATATGAGAGATAAAGTGGATTGGGGTCTTATATTAAGACCAAAATAAAAATCAAACGAGCTCTTATATTAAGGATTGGAGATAGTACTCCTCTTATCCTTAATATAGGACCCAATTCTTGAGTTGGTTTTGGTTCCAAATATAAGACCTATTTTCATATTATAACTTTCTCTAATTACCCTATAGATACTCCCTCAACCAGTAGAAGAGAGAGAGGAGGTATTAAGGAAGATGATATGGGTTTTAGGAAACATGTGTCACTTTTCTTATAATTAACTAACTTACCTAACTTCCTTAATCTAATCAAATTAGTTAAATGGGTCTTATATTAAGGATCGGAGGAGTATCATTTTTAGTGCCTGAAATTTAATCCTAATTTAATTTTAGTCTTTGAAATTTCAAATCAGTTTTGATGCCTGAAATTTGATATCTTATTTATTTTGATCCTTATTTTAGAGATCAAAGGCATTGTTCCAGGGACCAAAAAAATTTAGTAGAACTAAAATGAAATTAAGTTGTAAGAACCAAGATTATGAGTTGAGTTTTTGGAGGGTAAGGATGGTATAACCCAGTTAAATTCATTTATTGGTCCTGATTCCCTAATACCTGTGAATGCATGATGAACCTGGCAACCATGGGGTCATGGACAGCCCACTTTATAAGCCCATTTTGATTCAGTTGTTTATGCAAGGAGCCCATTTCTTTACAGTTTTTGCCTGGAAAAAAAATCCCATCTTCCAATAATTATGTACCCCCTGTTTTTTTCTCTCCAAATTTTATGCATTAATATTTTTATTTTAAATATAAATTATTTAAAATATATTAGGTTAATTAGTAATTACTTATTTTTACCATGTTTTAGTTTCTTAAAAAGAATATAAATAAATACTAAAAAGATTTGTTAAGTTATGTTAACGGGATGTAAAAAATATCAAGTTTTAATTTTTGAGGTTAATAACTAATTTGATTGAATTTTTAGTTTTGGTTCTTATAATTTTAAATCATTGGTTTTTATTTTTATAATTAAATAAATATTTGATCTAAGTTAACGAACAGTTTCTATATTTTAAATAAGTTTTGTTTTTGATTCATTATTTGAAATTAACCTTTTTTGCTGGATTAAAAATATTAAGAAATTTTTTTATAAGCTGTTTTTGGACAGGGGTTCGGAAAACAGCCAAAGACGAAAATAGGGTTCTTTTCAGGCCAAAAATGCATTGTAATCTGTAGATGAGGCCATTTTTCCATTTTGCTCCTCATGGTTCATATCATTATCGTCAATACCATTGCCCTCGCGAGTTTTGCTTTTCTCTTGTACTTTCTCCAAAAAACGAGGTCGTTTTTCACCTGCACAATGAGACGCGGTGGAAGAAAGGGATAGTGAAGAATTGGCCAGCAATTATATATTATTTCTCAGATTTTAAATATAACACTTATTTTATAATGTAAATTATACTATAAAATGAACTTCATATTTGAGTCGATTAATCCTCTTGAGTAGAGTTCGAATTTTTATAAAATCACAAGAAATTCGAAAAATGAGAAAACAAATGAACTGACTGAAAATTCACATTAAGTTTGTCTTAGCCTCAAGTAACGGTGAACTCGTTTTACTTCTATATGCTATAGTAACAATAATAATTAGTACCATATATTATGTATATCCTTTTTAACAAATACTCCTCTGGTCCTTAATATAAGACCTATTTAACTAATTTGATTAGATTAAGGAAGTTGGGTAAGTTAGTTAATTATAAGAAAAGTGACACATTTTTCCTAAAACACCATAATCATATTTCTTAATACCCCATCTCCCTCTTCTATTGCTTGTGGTTGAGGGAGTATCCATAGGGGTAATTTAGAAAAAATTAATAAATATAAAAAATGAGTCTTATATTTAGGATCAAAACCAACTCAAGAATTAGGTCCTATATTAAGGATTGGAGGAGTACTATGTAACTATGATAAATTACTTATATTTTTATTATTAAATTTTTAAAGCTTCGAGGCACCCAGCACACTAAAATGTTTTTCCAATAACACCTGGTATTTTAAAGTAATTTTTAATATATTTAATACCTAAAATTTTTTTCTCACTAATACCTAATATCTTAAAATAATTTAGTGTAATTTGAGTTTATGACCACATTAAACTTAGGATGTGAAAAAGTAATTTAAGACATTGGATGCATGAGAAATTAGTTTATGATACTAATAAGTGTTACTGAAAGAACTGTACTCAGATCAAGTTGTTTATATCAATTTGTCAAATTCTGGGATCACACATGGGCATGTGTTCCATTTTTGAAATATCAGCATTCAATTATAAATTTATATAAAAAAATAAAATATATGGATATGTGTGATTAAACAACTTGATATAATTGGTATAAATAACTTGACCTAAATATTTTTTTTACTAAAAAAAAACTAAATTGCTAATTAAAAAACTTGTATGTGCGTCAGTAATAAATAAGCTTATTTATTATAAAAGCAAAAAAATTTTTAATTATAAATTCAATCCCCCAGTCCCCATCTCTTCTCGCAAACTCAGTCCTCAGCGGTCGCACATGGACATCAGACGCAGCTTTTGAGTTTCTTCTCCTATCTCGCTGCTGCCTGTGCTGTAAAGATTTCAATTTCTCATTTTGTGCTCTCTTCCTGTCTCTTTGATTATACCCATTCACGCCTGCTTTGATTTTTCTTCTCCTTTTTCTAAGTTTTCTGCTATAATGTGCCTTCCTGGTTTCTGGCCATCAATCTATTCATGTGGGTATAAAGCGAAACTGGTTTCCTCTTTTCGTCTCATTGCTGATATTTTCCATTCTAGAAGGGGACCAAAATTTGATTGAATTAATTTTTCATGTTTTGATTATCAAGTTTTGCTTTTTAATCTTTGGAGTTTTTGCATTCGAAAAGGAAAGAGGGTTTTTCTGTTTGCAATTTGAAAGCAAACGAAGATCGTACTAATTTCTGAACCTGTTGCCAGATCAAATTTCACCTTCTTGTGAATTCGACTGCAAAACCATGTTCTACTCGAAGCATTTTACAAGAACCCTATCAATTCGCTCACTCTATAATCTTTTTCAACATCATTCATCGTCAACTTTCCCTCCTATGTACAGCACAGCCGCATCTACACCCACTTCAGAGCAAACGTCTTTCACAATGAACTACCTCATTAGCAAATGTAGATTCTCCCGAAAAACTGCATCGGTGATTTCCCAGCGCATCTCTCTCAAGTCATCAGAAAAAGCGGACTGCGTTCTCTCTCTTTTTAAAACATGTGGTTTACGCGAGTCACAGATTCACATTGTCATCAAGAAAGCGCCGAAATTACTTCTGAGTGATCCTATGAAGACCATTTGGCCTAAGCTTGAGTTCTTAATGTCCAAAGGTGCGTCTGTCCCTGAACTTGTCAACATTGTGATCAGAAGCCCCCGGTTCTTATTGAGAAGCTTAAAAAATCATTTAATTCCTAGTTATAATTTTGTTAAGGGCTTTGTTGGGTCTGATAAAAGGTGTATCGCCTCAATCATGCGGAGTCATAGAGTAATTTATTGTGATTCCCTGGAAACTAACATTCAACTCTTGCTTGACATTGGAGTGCCCAAATCTCGCATTGCTGCATATCTTCATTCGTGGCCTAGCCTGCTTGCTATGAGTTCAGGTAGAATTAGAGTGGAAGTTGAGGGATTAAAGGATAGAGGTTTTGACCCTTCGAAAGCAAATTTCATTCCTGGATTGTATGCCAAATGTAAGTTAAGCAAAAGCACTTGGAATAGCAAGGTTGGATTCTATAAGAACTGGGGTTGGTCTCAAGAAGAGTTTGATAAAGCATTTGTACTCCATCCTCATTTTATGTTTAAGTCTGTATGTAAGATTAAGGCAGTGATGGAGTTTTTTGTGAATGACATGGGTTGCGACTCTAGTCTGCTTGCCCGTTATCCCATACTTTTTTCAATGCATTTGAAGGGAAGAATCATTCCAAGGGCTTATATCTTGCGACGTATTCATTCAAGAGGTTTAATTAAGAATGCCTGTATCGTATATCCTTATCATATCAAGGAAAAGATGTTCCTTGAGAAATATGTTACTCGTTTTGAGAATGAAGCTCCTGGATTATTGAAGTTGTATCAAGAGACAATGCAGTCTTCAAGAAAGACTTAAATCTGATTTCATTCATTCTCTATATTGAACTTTTAGAACTTTTACTTGGAATCCTTTGTTACTTTGTTTTCTTCATTTGGAAGTATAGCCATCAACTGCTTGAAAGAACTTTAGATGTCTGCTTAAGTTTCTTTGTGAAAAATTACAGATTGTTTTCTGAATGTACTCATCAGTATGTAAAAACAGAGTACTTAATTGCAGCATTGCTTGATTACTTCGTGAGTGGCCTGGGAATGAGATTATGCCCAACTAAATGATGAGTTGTAAATGATAATCTGATGTGAGATTTAATTTGAGAGTTCATGTTGGTCTTATATGTAAGGCTTATTTCATATGCTTATTATTATTTTTTTTTCAAAACTAATTCTATTGATATTCTTTCAATGATAATCAAATAGTAGAGGAAGAGGTAGAATTAAAAAAGATGATTGAGGTGTTTTGAAAAAAAAAAAATTAATCAATTTAACTAATATTCTTAATTTACTCAAATTAATTAATTAGTTTTTATATTAAGGACACGAGGAGTTGTCAAAGAAGTATGGATATATGATCATATTCATACTTCTTCCATTTCATTTAGCTGTTAAGGCAATTAAGTTAAATGAATTATAACAAATGTGACAAGCGACGCATAAATTTATGAACATGTTCACTTTTAGCTCCAAATAAATCCTATTTAATAGATAGCAGTAAAGTATTAATTTTTTTTAAAAACAAATATATTGCAAATATTATTTTAGATAGTTAACTAACTTTTTAGTTTGGGACTGACTGAATCAATCAGACGTGTAAACTAAATATGATAATAATTTTTCAAACCAGAATATAATATTATTACTTAAAGACTTGAAGTTCTGTGACATTGGTCAAATTGATTGCAAGAGCAGAAAATTGAGCATGCCCTGACCAATGCCACAGTTTCTTCTGTACATGTAATGCTTTCCATGCTCATAGAGTCCCCCCCCCCCCCCCAACGCACCCCACCGGAACATGCTCATAGAGTTACAGGCCCATATATTTCACACTTTTTCGAATGCAACTAGAAATTTTCTTCCCTGCACCACACAAAATAGAATATTTAATTAGATTTTAAATTCTAATCAATGTTTACTTCTTATAAAAGTATAATTTTTTTATTTGTTTAAACGGGAATCAAATTAGACATGCAAAATTTAGGATGAACATATAAAAATTATTTTTTTTTTTCATTCAAGTCTCTAATTGACATACTATTTAATTATCATACTTCTTATTTAATTCAATATATTCAAATCTCAATTAACATATTATTTAAATTCAAAATTAATTATTAGTTTCTTCATTTGAACCTCGAATTAAAATCCCATTTAATAATAATATCCCTCATCTAATTCAATATACCCAACTTCTAATCAAAGTATTATTTAATTCTCATTAATTAAATATATTTGAATATCATGATGTCACACCTAGCTTTTTTTTAAACGAACCAGGTATTACAAGTTTTCAAGAGTATAGTTAATTAATTGATAGTTGATGGGCCCATTAAAAAATGATATTCGTTTCATACCTCACTTTAAAATAACAATATCAAAACTAAAATAATAACAATAAAAATCAACTGTCTGAATTACTCAACAAAGCCAAGTCAAACCATTTCGCTAGTGTTTGATCTTCTTAAAATTGGTGATTCCAGCTTTTTCCTCTCAATCTCACGCCACCGAAGTAATGCAAATGATAGAATTCCAGAATAGAACTGTCTCAATATGTAATTACAACTACAAATTACCATGCACTAATTCATGTATGTACTTTCACTACACATGGAATGGTTTCCTGGGAGTCGGTGTTCGATTCTCTATGGATTGCAGTCTCTGCTTCAGATGAAATACTTCAACCTGACAACCCCACAAGACAAGTTTCAGACTTTCTAGTTTGGGAATATGAAGCCAATGAAATATTTTTGTCACAAACATCTATAATCCTAAATCTAGAAATTTGGAGGTATTTGAACTTAATGACAGGAAACATCTTAAGAATTGAATTGAATGGCACTGAAACTCCAAGGCTACTACCCCAGCATTTCAGATAGACAAGATTACTTCACCTTTTTTTTTTTTTTTTTTGGGGGTGAAAACTTCACTTCTTTGGTTGGTAACACTTTCTTTTCGAAAAGCTTTTAAATTGGAGGAACTTGCAACCGGGCATTTTCGAAGGCCAATTGAAAATCCTTCCTTATACTCCCTTGTTAATAACTTCCAAAGAAAAGAGAGTTCATAGAACTTTTTCCCCCTTCTCTCCCCCCCTCTATTGTCCCCCATCCAAAGTTACCTCAAAGCAAACCTTACTCTAGTAATGAACCCAAAAAGGTACCTGTAATTGGAATGCCCTACCCCTTTCCCCAGCAAGAACACCTCTCGTTGAGTGCAGCTCCTGCACAGAATTTCCAGTAAGCCAATAATGACCAAGTACGCAATTGATTTCGCTAAATATCATGGGTTATACCTTCTGTGTGTCATCTAAGACAGCCTTGAGAAAAGCAACATCATGCTCCAGTCTAACGTTGTCCGAGTGGACAATGTTCGATAGGCTGTTAGCCTCTTCTTGGGCTAATTCTACACCAGCCAGCTTCTCTCTAATCATATCCATCTCCTTCAACGTGTCAACCAGTTTCTTCTCCATCTCCTGCCTGCTTTTAAGAGCCGATGCTAAACTTTTCTCAGCAGTTTCTTTGCTTGCAATTGCAGCAGTCAATTGTCCTTCCAGAATCCCATTTTTCCTCAATAGGGCGGCCACCTTTGTTTCATAGTAGTGATAAATACTTGATGGGTTGGACAGTGATCCTGGTTTATTGTTTTCTGAGAATGGCACGTCATCACTTTCCAGCGTGAGATCTCCAAATGCCTGGTTTAGTTGATTTGAATTTCCGTGTCCTGACGCCTGTGGTTCCTCCATGCTGCTCTTGGCTCTATTTGTGTTCATCTGATATCCAGGATCATTTTGATTAATTCTATGCTCTGTTGCCTGAAACACATATTTAGCAATAGGATCAGATATCAAAATAGCAATAACTATTTGATGAAAGTTGAAACATTTGAACTTCAAATTATATGGGTTAAATACATGTAAAAAATAATCAACACTTTTGATTGACATGCAATGAAGCAAGAGCTAGGGGAAACCCGTAGTAGAACATACCATGTTTCACACCTTACTTAGGCAACATAGGCAACTTATCACCACCAAACACACATAAGGATAATGACCACCGACGTGTATTGATGGCTGAAATATTCTAAAATTTTCAATATATGATTAACTTCTGACTGTTGAAAAGTATATATAAATTTGTATTTCACCTTAATTTTACAAAGTGGGAGAAGGGGTCTTAAAATTAATTAAACAATCATTAGCTCACTCCTTCAATTAAGCCAAAGGTCAAGAGATTCCATCTGCAAGAAACTAGCAATGAAATCTAGGAAGAAAAACAGGAACATATTACTTGTGAAGGTCATAGGATGGCGCATAAAACAACTAAAATATGAGAAAAACAAGTTAAATAAGAACTTAATCAAATGGTGCGTGCAAGTAGATGTGTATTAGCTGAAGATGTGTCCATCATTTATTTAAAGTACAGCAAAATAGCATCAAAGTCTTCGAGGAGACCAAGAAGTGTTATGTATAAAATAGGATTTCAAGAAGCTTCTTATTTTAACCTGAGGGAAAGAACTGTCATATTCTGAATTCTTGTCTACCCTAACATCTGGGCTGTATTCTTCATTGTCATCAAATTGCTTCCGAAGAGAGACGTCATTAGAGAGAGAAGTGTGATCAACAAGGGACTGTGACAGAGATTTCCTTCCAGACCCATGCTCAATTGAAGATCCCAGATTTTGTCTAGCAGCAGATTCAACTAAACGCCGCTGGCAAGAATCATTATTAAATTGAGATGCCAATCCAGCAGACGATGAATGTTTTTCAAACAGTGAAGATCCTGGAGCTTTTGTAAGAGTTGATCGTCTTCCCACTGCTGATTCATTTTTTTCAATTATCAGCACTTCCACCTGTTACATTCGAGAAGAAAAAGTCAAGTTTAAAGAAGCAAGACTGACATATAAACTAACTCTTGATTCTTTTGTCAAACCTGATTTGACGCTTCTTTTTTGGACCCCCCAAATGCAACAAGGAAGTCCTTTTCCTTATGCTGCACAAGCACTAGACTGAAACCCTGGCAATACAACAAATCATTATCGTATTACAAATAACGAAGAAACAGGAAAATATGCATGCTAAAAGTTATGTTTGAAAACGAGGAACTTTTACCTATAAAATTGAGTTATTGTATAATTATAATCATAAATAGCTATCGATATCTTATAATTTGAAATTACAGAAGCTTATACAGCATGAAGCCAGCAGTAGAGGAACAATGCCTAGAAAGATGTCGGGAAAACATAGTTCACCTTATTGGTAGTGATGGAACAAGGAGGTGAGGCAGCTGCAACAGACCATTCCCTTTTCAAAATATCAAATATTAAAGTCTCTCCACACCCTGAAAAATCAACAAGGCTCATAAAGTATGTACAATCAAAAGAATTGCAGGAGCAATCTTATTTAACAATGAATGAAACAATATTGTAGAAAGAATGGCCAGATCTGATACACATCATATCATGCACGCACAGTTAAAAAAAAAAAAAAACACTTCTTCATTTATGGAACATACGTTTTTTCCTAGTTCCACCCCCTGCAATATACCATTTAGTTCCATATAGCACGTCACAGCAACCGGCTCTAGGCGATGGATGGAAACCTTTTATCTTTATCCTTGACCATACCATCTGAGGGAACAGATATTTTTGTCAAATTATACAGTCAATGAAGAAATCATCTGTTTCTTATAGAAGTCAAGCAGTTTCAATGCTCAGAAACTGATACTAAAAAAAACCAAGGGATCTCACACACAGTTTCAAAATCAAGCGAGTATAAATCATTCAAGGTCCTGGACTTTGATGCTCCCCCGAATATAAAAAGAATTTTGTCATCATAAAGAGCCGCCACATGGTTGGATCTTGAAGACGGTGCCGTTCCCCTGCAATTATGTAATTGTATGTGCAAAAAAAAAAAAAAAACGAATAAGGGAATAAGGAACTTGACTTTGAAAAGAAATGCAACATTTCTAACTGGGGATTCTCAATACATAATCATTGATATAAAATCCTTCTCTTTTTTGTAGTTTCATATTAAAAGCTTTGACATGCTTACGTGCAGTGAAGAGGAAGCCAGTTGATGGACTTGAGATCAAACATATGTAGGTCATTCAATTTCCTCTTTTTTGCATCCTCACCCCCAAACAATATTAAAACAGAGCCTGCCCTAACAACAGTATGACCCCACCGAGCAGCCTGTGAAGAACAAATATTTCATCATTACTGCTTAGTTCTATGATACAGAATTCTAGGTAAATCAAGGATAATGTATCACAACAGCTTTAATTACTAACAGTATTTTTCGTGCTATTTTTAATGCTCATGAATTTCTAATAATATAACATGCCATATATGTGAAGTTACACCCTTCTCATGTCAAAAATATAAATATGACAAAGATATAAAGCTGCTATTTCCACTCGGCAGCACAGTCACAGTCCAGCAAAACTTTCTATTGCAGATGTCAAATTAACATGATCATAGATTATTATCATGAGAGAATATTATATTCATATTATACTTTAAATTATGTAATCTAATAGCAACCTTGGCAGCATGAGGATTTTCGTAAGGATACAAAACAATTTCCCAAACAACTTCTACGATAAGGGCATTTGCACATTTATTTACCAAAAAAATCCTACCGGTATATTTCCCTTTGATTCCATGACTGACCAACATTCTGTCTCTGTATCAAATGCCCAAACTGCAAAAAGCAAAAATATAATCAGAACAATATTAAACTTGAAAACAGATTCATTATGTATGTGTACACAATAATGTGACCCAACGTTGGACTCAACCTGAAATTCTGTCACTTCCAGGGTCTGTTTTACCCCCAACAAGGAGCACCTTTTTCCCCCAGGAAACCTGGTCAAATCATCATGAAACCATATGCATTTATTATCAAGAATAATCTTGTAAGAAAGATAAAGGGGGATGGCCGGATAGGCTTACAACACCATTGGAAGACAATGCTGTTCTAAATTATCAGTTATAAGAAAATCTCCAGTTTCTATACATAACACACATAATAGGTACAAATTTTGGCTTAGACTTGGTAAACCCATGATCAAAATTATTAAAATTCTTACTCCCTCTAGTCCTTATTACAGGGGTCATTCTAGAAGAAATTCTTGATTCTTTTTATAAGACCCTTTGATAGTCTCAATGAGTATTAAATACTTTTTCCCCCCCTATATGGCCATATTTAACGAAGGTATTGGGAGGATAAAAATTAATGAGGTTAAAATTTAGTGTAATTAATAAGAATAATATTGGAAATCACTTGAATTTTATAACAAATTTAATGCTTTTAACTAGCTTTATTGGTATGTGTATTAGTTAGTGGGATCTTATGATGAGGACATCAGGAGGTATCATATTATTGAGCAGCATGTTTATAGCAACTAGAGTCTACTGAAGTGTACTGCACATGAACACGCAAGGGAGGGCAGATTTTTCAACTCCATTTAGAAATTTACATTTCCGGATTTCTCATCTTGAGTTACGAGTATTCCACGTCTCACACAACTGAAGCAATGCCAAAATCAACAAGAATAGTGCATGCTAGTATGCTAAGTTTGCATTGTTTAGGATAAACAATGGTACCAAACAGTGATTCTTGCATGCTGGAATCTTTAATGGCAAACTGCTTGGCGACAAGTAAAGCTTTGAGGATGCTGTGGACCAGGAAAACCTATCAAAACTTAGCACCTGAAAAGTAAAAGAGGAGTAACCGGCTCATATTTTGTTGGAGAAACGAAGGAGGCAAGGACCACAGAATTAGATGATATTGACGGAGCTGCTTATCTTCAAAGCAACAACATCCCACTCATATAAAACAATAAATGCTCTCTAACCTGCACATCATCTAACAGCCCATTCCCAGATTCGCCACCAACCATTATCATTTTATTCCCAACAACAGTTGCTGCATGCTGTTCACAATGAAAAGAAGTTCAGACTTTTGCCAGTATAGATGTGCCAGCACAACAACTTTAGGAACAGATATAAAATGAAAGAAAAATGTTAAACTATCTACATCGGATCTAGGAGCGGGCTTGTCTCCTGTAATTGACAACACCATCCAGTTCTCTGAGCTGCCCAATGTCGTAGAAGTACTTATCTCAGGCGCAGAAGATGAAGAACACTGACAATCAAGTTCGTCAGAATGGTCATTTGTGCCTGAAACTACTCCATCACCCTAAAAAGGAGACTCAAAAACTCAGTGGACAGCTAACTGTGTAATTGATTTGAGGTGAATGTAAAATGGGAAGGAGGGAAAAATTTTAATACCCAAACAGTGTACAGGGTATGTTTGGATTGAAAAGAACGAACATGAATCACACGCTTATCCAAATTTAGATAAAAAGAAAATGTCTACATTAAAATTTGTTGCTGAGAAGGCTTACATTAGAACCGGACTTGCCATTTTTTCTGGGCTGCCTTATGGGGCTCCTAGTTCCCTGGGTGTTGTCCGAAAGCTGGGCCTTCAACCTAAGGCAGAACAATTATGAGATTCAAATTTTCAATTTATGCAATTAAAATCAACTAATCACTTCAAAAGTTCAAAGTCAATACAAAAAAGCTTCACCTTGCATGCTTCACACGACGGCGAGAGAATCCAAACATTTTCTTCCAGCTTCAAAACCAGACCTCCTGAAGCAGAAATCACATAAAGACTAAGATAATTGAAAATAACCCAAAATAGATGAACCCTAGCCAGCGCTAACAGAGAAGCCACATTGCCCAGAAAGCCTTCTTCTAGGGAAGAGCTACCCAGACAAACTCTTTCCAATTCCCCGGAAAAGAGGTACAATGATTAGCAATCTCAAAGTCAAAAAAAGCAGGAAAAGATCAAAAAAAAAAAAAAAGTTTCAGTGACTGCTAAAAAGCTCACCTCGCCCACAAAAGTTGTTTGGGAAAAGAGCGATTGGCTCGTGTGTATCTAATTATATATTGTAATATTGGCTTTTCTCTGGACTATAATGTGGATTGTGGAAGGAGCAGGATGATGATGATTTGGGTTGGGAAGTACTCTTGGTTTTGGGTGATCCACTGATTCCAGAGTGCGGATGCGTAGAACCAGAAATAGATGGCGGAGAAGAAAAGGACCGTTTGGTCTCTCCACTGTTGTGCGCAGAGCCAGAGGTGAAGTGTGATGAACTTCGTTGAATAGTGTGTCTGTAAGCTTTCAAGTAGCAGAAAGAGGTAAGGTTCAGGGTGACTGGGGCCCACTTACTATTTATTGGGGGCGTCCTGTGGGCCCCCCTTCTCTCGGGACTTGGGTGATAGCCCCAAAAGGTCGATCCGATCCTTGCCCCACGTGTTTTCCGATTCTTTTTAATTATTGTTCTTAATATTATTATTACCCCTTTCCAATTATTGCTCCAGTAAATAAAACAAGCAGACAAGCAAAACCAAAATCTATATACTCTTCTAGTCCGCACTTTTAGCATACTAATATTTCATACATATTAAAAAAAATTTTAAAATATATTAAATTTTTATTAAAATATAATAATTTTTAATTTTATATATATTTAATATATGTATTTTTTTAAAAAAATAACTACCTAGAATAATAAAATAGTATATTCACATTGAAAATTTAATTAAGTGACTTATAAATAAGATAAAAAAATTTTCTCCCTGCTCTATAAATAGGATTAGAGGAGTATGATTTAATAATTATTTTTTAATTTTATCTTCTATTTAATGTCATACCGTTTTAGATTTGAACTATTTCTAATAATATATTATTGAAATTAAGTCATAATTATTCATTAAATTTTGGAATAAGACATAAATATCACACATGTTGACTTTGTTACTTACATTTCTCACCCATTGAAATTGTGATTTGTTTCCTCACAGCATCACTCCTTGTAGTAAAAGATTTATCCTTGCAAAAACGGGCAACATGATGCAATGCAAGTTTTCATATAATTAGAGCTTTCTTTCACTTTTTTTTAAATAAAAAAAGAAGAAGAAGTGAAGCAATGATTAAAGATGTTGGCTTTTGGTCTTTATGTTGAATTGTGTTCTTTTGACCTTATTTGCTAAATTGTGTTTAGAACATGACAATATTTATAAATGTTATAATGTGACAAAACCAAAATAGGCCCACCATATTAGCCATGTCAAATTCATAATTTTTATCATACCCCCAAAACTTTCAAATCAGATCATTTACTTTATCGAGTCAATCATGTTTTCCTTGGATTTTCTTTTTTCTTTTGCCAACATTTTGGAACTTGCTATACACATAGAAAAATTAATATACTCCTTCATCTTTAATATATGACCCATTTAACTAATTTGATTAGATTAAGGAAGTTAGGTAACTTGATTAATTATAAGAAATGTGACACTTTTTTCCTAAAATACTATAATTATCTTTCTTAATACCCCATCTTCCTCTTCTACCTGATTATGGTTGAAAGAGTATCCATTGGAGTAATTTAGAAAAAATTTATAAATATGATAAATGGGTCTTATATTTAGGACCAAAACCAACTTAACAATTGGGTCCTATATTAAGGACCGGAGGAGTAATACATATTAGTAAACAAATGTATGTACTGCTCCCTTCTATCCTATCTACCTGTATTTTCTTTTGATTTTTAATTTGATACCTTTGTTTTCTTTCCTCTCAATTAAATTATTTAATTTTACTTTTTTTAGCAACATAAGCTCATATAATTTTATTCTATTAGTATTTTTAGTCTCTATACAAGGGTTAACAATGATAATAAAGTAAATTAAAGATTTAATTAAGAAGGGGGGAAAACACATAGATACCTAATTGAAAATTATTTTAAAAAAAAGTATAGGTACCTCTAAAATGATTTTTCCTATTCGAAATACATGAGCTAGGTAACAAAATTAAAAAATAATTAAATTAATTATTTGTGATATATATGTGTGTGCTGATTTTTTTAAAATATTCTACTGGATCATTTACATTGAAAAATATCCTTATTAATGAAAATTCTTTTTTTGGGGGAGGAATCATAAGGTTATAACATAAAATGAATTGAAATTTTATATTTAGAATAAAAACAAACCGTAATTAATTTTTGTGTTAAGAATATACTAACAATTCTTCATTTTAAAAAAAAGATTTAACTATGCATTTTAATAAAGTCAAGGACTGTCACAAATCTAACAAAACTTCAGATTAAATTTATCCTCACTAATGTCCGATGGAACGTTCTTTTTACCACACTGATCCAAATCTAACTACTCCCTGCGGCTATGGACAAAACAAAATGAGTGTTAATATTAATCTATAATAAAAAAGTACTACTCCCTCCGTTCCTTATTATAAGAGACAAATAACCAAATTACGTTGATAAAAAAAACAGTTAAAATTAGTTGAGGATAATTAATGTGTAAAAAGTATAATGTTTTTTCCAACAATGCCCCCATTAATAAGGAGAGAGAATATGAGAGAGAACAATTAAATTATTAAAAGAAAGAGAAGTGGGAGGGAGAGAGAGTATGAGTTGGAGACAAAATAAATAGGGGTAAAATAGGAAATCAATACAAAAAAATAGAGACAACTTTTAAGTGTCTCTTATATATGGGAACATGTCATAAGCATCAAACGTCTCTTATAATAAGTAACGGAGGGAGTACTATTTTAGTTAGGTGACCCGCAAAAAGGAGTACGCCAGTTCTATTAACTGATAAAGTTGCAGAGCCATTTCCAAAGGTATGAACTTGATATAACTGCCACTGCAAATGGTTCAAGTCCGTTAAACGTGCTTCATGTTAGTTCCTAAATTGATAGCCTTGCTAAAGAGTTCTTCAACTCTGAAGCAGGCTAAACAAATCCACGCCCATATCCTGCTTAATGGTCTAGATCATCTAGAACCTGTTTTAGTCCATCACATTCTTCTCTGGGATGTCAAGAACTATAAAACTATAGCTATGTATGTGCAGTCAATTGTTCAACATTCACGCAATCCAGATTCCTTCTCATGGGGCTGTACCATTCGGTTCTTCTCTCAGAAGGGCCAGTTCACTGAAGCAATTTCTCTGTACGTTCAAATGCAGAGAATTGGACTGTCTCCAAATTCATATGCGATATCCTCTGCTTTGAAGTCATGTGCCAGGCTTGAGTATAAACTTGGTGGTATATCAATTCATGGACAAGTTCAGGTGTATGGATTCCCTAGTTGTGTTTACGTCCAAACGGCCCTTCTCGATTTATACTCGAAAGTGGGTGACACAGAGACTGCACGTAAGGTGTTTGATGAGATGTCCCAGAAAAACGTGGTTTCTTGGAATTCTATGTTATCTGGGTATCTGAAAGATGGTAACTTGGCTGTGGCTCGCTTGTTTTTTGATGAGATTCCTAGGAAAGATGTCGTATCTTGGAACTCTATGATCTCAGGGTATGCAAAATCAGGAAATATGGACCAGGCTTGTTCCTTATTTCAACAAATGCCGGAGAAAAACTTGGCTTCTTGGAATACAATGATCAGTGGTTACATTGATTCCGGGAGCATAATATCTGCGAGAGAATTTTTTGATGCAATGCCAGTTAGAAACAGTGTTTCTTGGATGACAATGATTTCTGGGTACTCAAGGACAGGGGATACTGAGTCTGCTCGAAAGCTTTTCGACCAGATGGATGACAAAGACTTGCTTTCATTTAATGCTATGATAGCTTGCTATGCTCAGAATAGCAAGCCAAAGGAGGCCCTTGCTCTATTAAACGACATGCTTAAACCAGACGTCAATATACATCCTGATGAGATGACTTTGACAAGTATTATATCAGCTTGTTCACAGTTAGGAGATATAACATGCTGGCACTGGATTGAGTCAAGCATGAGTGACTTTGGAATTGTTCTCGATGATCATTTAGCTACTGTTTTAATTGATATGTATGCCAAGTTTGGAAGCATTGACAATGCGTATGAGCTATTTAATGGTCTGAGAAAGAGGGATTTGGTTGCATATTCTGCAATGATACATGGGTTTGGAATAAATGGTAGGCCATTTGATGCAATAAGGTTATATGAACAGATGCTTGCAGAGGGTATTTGCCCAAATTTAGTTACCTACACGGGGCTCTTGACAGCATACAATCATGCGGGACTGGTTGAAGAAGGATACCGCTGCTTCAAATCCATGAAAGATTATGGACTTGTGCCTTCAGTTGATCATTATGGAATCATGGTTGATCTTTTAGGGAGGGCGGGAAGGTTGGATGAAGCATATAAGCTTATAATCAATATGCCGATGCGACCAAATTCTGGACTTTGGGGAGCTCTACTTCTTGGTTGCACATTACACAACAATGTGGAATTGGCGGAAATTGCTGTTCAGCACTGCCTTAAGTTGGAGAGTGATACCAGTGGTTATTGCTCTCTTCTTTCTAGTATATATGCTTCTGTTGGTAAATGGGATGATGCCGAGAGGTTGAGAATGGGTTTGGTTGGAGAGAAACTCAAGAAAATACCTGGATGTAGTTGGATTTAATTTGGCTCCACCATGACCGGAAGAGGAAAAATGTCTGGAGTCATATGTATGACAATAACTTGATGCTTCAGTGGCTTCTACCATCATCCATCACTTAAAGTTGACGTCTTACATCAACTTACTTGAGAATGAAGATGAAAAAATGACATAGGTTTTGTGTCTGAGGAAGCTTTGTGTAGCCATCAAAGTTCTTTTTTTCCCAGTGTGTCCCAAAACTGAAGCATTTAGATATATCATGCATAATCTGTAGTGCTGAAGTTGTCAAAGATAAAATGCTGTAGCATTAATGAAACTGAACAAGGTAAACAATTTGGGTAGAGATGGATGAAAATTGATATATGATTATCAGTCTCATAAAAATAAAAGAACGAGTAGTCGTCTGATTGAAGTTTTCTGAAGATAAATTGTTAATGTATAATTTGATTAGCATTGATACTTGTGAATGAAACCAGACATTCTGTTTTCACCAAAAAATTTTAAAGAAAAATGGAAGAAACTAGAGATTCTGTAACTTTGTTGAACATATGATGGAGGAAATTAGAAAGAAATATCATTCAGGCCGAGAAGACAGTTCAAGCAGGCTTCAATTTTCATTTACTTCTTTACCAATTTGATTGAATTTATGCAATCTGAGTATTTAAACTGATGGTAGTCATGCAGTGTGTTGTACAATGAAATCCGTGGTTTAGATATTTAGACTATTTCAGGTTAATTTAGTCTTGAAAGGCCAACTAGTTTGTGAATTTTGCTATTTTTGGAACAATGGTCCCGTGTTCCTCGTTTCTGCTTTCAGAAAACTAATTGCTGACATTGGCAAAGTGGAAGCTTATAATTGACATTCAACCTTTTTTCGTGCGTCATTTTATTTCTTTAATGAAAAAGCACTCAGCTGCACGGCATTTTTAACATAACGGTCTGTGTTAAGACAAGAAGAAGAAAATGTCGACTTTGCTGCTATCATTGATTCAATTCACAGGCATGATTCAACCTTGCGAGGCACTCTGATTTTTAGGAGGTTCTCAATGCTCGATAGGAAATGAAAGTAGTGCCACTATATCTTGGAAAGTGAAAAGGCTCTAAAAAGCAGTAGTTGATATATATGCGAGCAATCATGGTGGCCAAGTCAAGGTAAAACTTATTAACCTATCATTTCGGGTTGCCTTTATCTATAAGATTACTGCTGCTTGCATGTAAGTCATTTCCATTTGTCTTATCTTCAACAGTTCAACTCATTTCAAAATTAAAGTGGGAAAGACAATTTTCCAAGGGTAAATGATGGAAACTGTTTACCTTGGAGTTATATCAAAGCAAACTGAGCCACATAATTTAATGTGGAGATATTGCTCTTGCCTTGCTTCTCTTTGCCCGTGTATCTGTTTGTGTCTGTATATATTTGTTGCCTTCTTTTCTTCTTTGACTGAAGATATGTGGGGGTAACTCATTGGAAATTGAATTCATCAGAACAAGGACAGTTCAGGAAAAACAGAGTGTTGTAGAACTTACAAGTGAAAAAAATGTACTTGTCGTCTTATCATGCTCATTCCTAAACTACACTTTCCTCTGTGCGCCACCCAACTTTTGTCTATTTTTGAGTTCTCCTTCAGTTTTTTTTTTATTATTTTTTGTCTTTCATTTTCCTGTCTATTTGTTGATGTGACTGAGGAATTAAAATGGTTGCATGTGTCACTTGCACGCCTACCTGCATGCTTATTGCATTTGATGCCTTTGTCCTGCTTAAACCAAGTGGAAGAACAAGATATGCTTTGTGTCCTATAGTGATATTTGTTGCTATTTCTAGATTATAATAATAAGCCACTTCGTTTAGATAGTTTTAGAGGGTTGCAAACTAACAAAACCCCAGCTATATATGGAGTTGAAGGACAGACGATTAAAACAGATTATTTTATCTCATCTTGGGTAGTGGGTATAATCTTAAATGGCTAGTGGTAATTTCACTTTTCGTGTTGGAGAGAATCTCAAGTAAATTCAGTCTATTAAGGGAAAATAATTCAAACAGAGCATCAACAAATATAAAAGTCTGCCTGAGATACTCACACGTTATGTATACTTTGTTTGATATTTTTTTTAATAGACTGAATTTACTTAAGAATTCTTCTTTTCGCGGTTTCCTGCATATTTTCTTTTGTTATTTAGCTGGTTAATGTACTTAAGAATTTTTTCCCCCCCAGCTTCCTGCGTATCTAGTTTCTTTTGTGTTTTAGATCGTTAATGTAAGAAACCTGACTTCTTTTTATCTATGCCTGGTTTTTAACTCTGCACGTTAGAGAAGATAAATGCTGATAAACCACAACTGACATGATACCAAAAGCACACTGTTAAAAACTACATAAGGCCGCAAAGCTACATTAAAATACCCAAAAAAAAAGGCTAAACTACACCTCAGTCGATCACGTTAGCCTTCAGCTTATTGCAAAACTTTAGCAACATAAGCTATGCACTAATATGGATATATATCACTCTATATCCGATGCCTACATTATAATCTCATATATAGTTATTGTGACCAAAACAGGACTTTTATTGCCTGATACGATAAGGGCGGTACTCAGTAGTACTGTCTCATACCCAAAGAGCTCCTGCTCTTTTGAGCATTGGGATCAAGGAGCGGTTAAGGTGAAGGCTCATGACTTCATTGGCTCCTCCCACGAGCTCGCCACTTATGAACACAGCTGGCACCGATGGGCTGCACCCAAGGTTCACAAGGGCTTGCTCAATTTCCTTCCCTCGAGCCATCTCATCAAGCTCATGAACCATTGGGTTCACCCCAAAGTCACTGAAGAGGGTCTTGATGGTGTGACACATGCAGCAGGAGCTCTTGCTGAAGATCACCACAGGCCTTTCTGATGCCAACCTTGTCACCCTGTCCATTTCTGACTTGCAGTACTAAACACAAGATGCTCTAAGAAATTTTCAAATGCAGCCTAAGTGGTTGAGAGCAGAAGAATATATCGCCAAATGTGTTCAATGCAGATCTTGAAGTAGGAATTGGTGTGGGATGAGATGAGGAGGAGGGAGGCTCTTCAGGTATATATAGTGGTGTTTGGGAGAGGATCGGATAGGCGTGGCTGAGCAAGCTAATTGGCAAAGAAAATGATATGGGGTGGTGGGGTAAAGAAGGAATGTTCGATTAGATAATATATTTGCCTGTTTCTAAATTTCTCTTTTTATCATTTATTTGAAAGTGATTGATCAACAAGTTCCTTCACAACAACGAATCTAATGTGCATACGGAAACACCAGGGCGTCCTTGGTACGGCTGAGTTATTTTTATATGCATATCCCTTCTTAGTGGTTACTTTTCTTTTCTGTTTGAAGAGTGGGAAAAATCGCAGAAAACAGAGGCCTCAAGACGAAGTTCTAGTAAGAGTTGGCTCTATCATGAACAAAATAGAACTTCTACTTTGTGAACTGAGCCAAGTCTCTTATTAGCAAATACTTCTGCTACTGCATTTGATTTTTCATTTTCTGCTTTAGCCAAGGTCATGACTTTTGGATCATATAAAATACTTTATCAGACAAAAGAGATGAGACCTAAATGAGACTTACTTAAATGTGTCATATTTCTCATCAACTTGTATTTAACACTCAAGTGATTTTACAGTGTTAATAACTTGTTTCCAAGCTTGGAGATGATTGAAAGCCCTGTTTGACGAGAAAATTTTGGATAGGAATGAGTTGGTTGATAATGAACCCATTTAGCTAAATTTATTTCATTATGGTAATTTTTTGAGAGGTTATATATGAATATGTGGTGATTATGTGCGTACCATTTTTTCTTTAAAAAAGAAGAAGAAGAAGAAATAAAAAAGAAAAGAAATTCTATGTTGGGAGTTTCTGGCTTTTCTACCTTTAACAGAAGCATCTGCTACGGTGGAAGAAAAGTTGGATTTATCCAATTGGGACCTCTATCAAAGATTCGCATCCAATTCCAGAAAGAGAAATGTGATTAAAAGCTTTTTGGTACGTATGTTAACTGAACAGTACATTTATTATCTGCTGAAATACATTTTTTATTTATTTGGTATTATCAAGCTACTCATATAACCTCATTCAGTGAGATAAGACTTGTCATTACGATGTTGAAAATACTATTAACCTGTCATTGACTTGCTAAAAATACGATTGACTGTACTGTTGAGTACAGTAGCAAATACCAGTAGTTATTTTCTTTATTGGCCAATGGAATTTTAGAGTTATTTGTAGACCTGTTGATGATATGCACAAATCAAACGAAAAAGAAGGCGATGATCTTGTTGGTGATCAAATTGATGAGAAAGATCCAATTAATGGGATATGGTAAAGAACCAAATAAGATTTACATATCATCATCAGGAACAGTCTGGAAAAAAAAAATGCAGTGAACAAAATCAAAAAAGCTAGTTGCCTTTAATTAAAATTTCTTTCCGACCTGTGTATAGTTGTGTGGCTGCTGTCACTAGGGAATCTTGGGTTTTGCAATACTATGAGCACTTTTATATTCTCTTGTGTGCGTGGTGCTGTAAGGTTGTTTACTTTCACATGGCGCCACGTTTGATGATAGCAACTTGACCTGCAGACACGAGAAGATCAGAGGAAGAAGAGAAGAAGAAGTTGCAAAAGTAAGTGGGCGTGTGTGTGTGTATGCTATTTCTATTGTTGTAGGGTTCCTTCAAACAGTACGTTTTAAGGTATTAGTGTCCCACAATCAAACGGCTCTATGCTGAAGCTAAGGGCCACTTATGTTGCATCCTCACGTATGATTCCACAACCATATCCATATGTATCAAGTCACACACAGATATACATACATACATACACGCACACAAACACACACACACATATATATATCAGCATTTGGCATTTTCATGCAAATGCATATGTGCATGCATCATCTACTGACCTCTTTTCTGATAATTGTGCATGCATGCCTGCATGCACATGCATATGTACGACGCATATATCAAATTCATTAAGTTGATGGGTTGACGTAAATCATGAGTTAAATATGTCGAGCTGAGAAAATTGACATATTTATAACTCAGTAAAATCAAGGGAAAATATATGTATAGGGGTAAAAGCATGGCCTTGTATACTTCTCAGATCCTCAGTGTAAAAGTTTGTTAGGAAGTTTAGATTTAGTCATAAATGTAAAACTTTAATGCATTTTATTTCTTATATTTTTTTTCAAACTAATTTATTTAACTTATTAACTAATATATAATCTAATAATGTTACGGAGGAGTATTTTGGGGGAATTATATCACATTTATTAGAATTAAATAATTTATTTAGCTGATCTAATTTATTTAAATTAGTAGGGTGGCTCTCATATTGCACTAATTGCAGGAGTATGATAAAATTCACTGCAGTAAAAAAACAGAGAAAGCTCGCGGTATTTTCTCACACAAAGAGCGACCGTAAAAAGGCTTGAAAAGGAAGGGATAAAATTGAAATTTTGTATTAAATTATATGACTAAAATTGCAGTTTTGCCCATTCTCTCTTATTACGTAATCGGACATGAAACTTCTCGCGGGTCAAATCTCCATGAGAAATTAAATTCTCTCAGAATATCATCCAAGAGATTTTTTTTTATGCATGTAATATCTGTAAGAAAGTTTTTTGAGAAAATGATAGAAAAATAATTATTGAATTTAAAAATGATAAATCGGTGATTTGGACATATTTTAACTTGTGAACATTATTACAAGAGTAGTCAAAATCATTACAAAAATAGTTATCATGACCTTCTTCTTTTTTTTTTGAAAATTCAACGATTTTTCAAGTTTCTTTGAAGGTAAAATCTGTGAGAAATTCTATCTGTTAAAAGCTTTACTGAATAAGAAGTACTCTTTTAGTCTTAATTATAAGACTCATTTTGTAATATAATTTATACTACAAATAAGTTTTATATTTAAAACAAGAGGAGTGCTATTTTGTTGCATTTCTCATAGATTTCTCGCAGGATATATGCACGTGTGTCCCTCATAGGATGGTTCTCACAGGTTCTCTCAGAATATATATATATATATATATATATATAAGCTCTCTCTCTCTCCTTTTTTAGTGAACATGTAAGCTCTCCTTTTGTTTTCTTACTGGCTTGATATCAAATACATTTTAAAAACAACAGCCACCCTCACAATCCAATTAAAACCAATGCAAACGTTATAATTAATGATGTGTGTGACCACCAAGCACTTGGATCAATTAGTAGAAGTTATTCCAACTTAACAAAAAGTCACATGTTCGAGTATTTAGGAATGTAACAGTATAAATGGTAGGGTCGCCGCTTATGTAGGCCTTACCACCATGACCTGATCCAAATTAGTCTGGTTTGTAATTCTTTAAAAGATTGGTCAGGATATCATGTGCATGTAAAAAAAAATGATGTGTGTGTGTGGTGGCATATATTTATATATAATGATGTTTGTGTAGAAGGACATCATCCACACACATACACCCACACAACACACACAAAAGAAAGATGGTGGGGCGAAGGAATGTGAACTTTATAAGCTGGAAAATGCGAAGAGAATGCGATGACGGTTCTTGGCATCGCACACAGGACATATTAGGGTCTCACTGGTTGGTGAAGTTGATGAAGTACTCACAACTGTACAATTTACTTATTTAAAGCGCAGAAAACTGTTCTTTTTTAAAAAAGAAAAATATATTTTAAACAGAGAAAAGGGGAAAAGGCCAAAAAGGCCCTCAAGTTGAATTTATTTATGGGAGAATGGCAATTAGATTCCGCTCGAGGGAATTAAATGCAAAAAAGTCCCTTGAAATCATGAAATTATTCTGAAGTCTTAAGGGACCTTTTGCAATAAATTTTATTTATTTAATTACCAAATTACCCTTCTTCTTCTTTTTAGATTTGTATTGACAACTGAAAGAGCAGTGGTTGACAACTCAGGGTGCAAGGATTGACAACTATCGCGGCTGGTTTAACAACACATTTTCTCAGCATATCACATTATAAGTTGTTAAATCAGCCGCGATAGTTGTCAATCCTTGCACCCTGAGTTATCAACCACTGCTCTTTCAGTTGTCAATACAAACTTAAAAAAGAAGAAGGGTAATTTGGTAATTAAATAAATAAAATTTAATGTAAAATTTTTTTTGGGACTTTAAAATAATTTTATGATTTCAATAAACCTTTTTGTATTTAATTTCCTTGAATGGGACCTAATTGCCATTTTCCCTTTATTTATTTATGATATGCAGTACCATCATGACATGATGTTTTGTTTGGGTATTGGCTTTTGAAGATACGAGGGACAGATAGAATATATATGGCTTAGCCTCTCAATCAATATGCAGAGAACCCCAAAAGAAAGCACCCACCGCCTATAAAGGAAAATTCTCCTAAAGTTTTTGCTCTCTTCACAGAATATTTACTTCAGAAAAAAAAAATATTAATCAATTTGTCAGTTTTTATAGTTTTTTTAACCAGATTTTTAATCAAGTTCCTTTTTTTTTTCCCCTTCTGTTTATTGAGTCCTTACAGTTTCCTCAATTACAGGCATTAGTTCCTAATCATTTGTTAATTAAGGATATAATGTTGATGCTGAATAAGTAACATATATAAGTTATTACAAAATAAAAAAAAGATTTTCTATAAAAAATATGGAATAAATTGATTTATTATCAACATAATCTGCATATGGTTAATTTTGATTTTATTTGAATTTATATGGCAAAGTTAATCCAGGAGTAAATTTGCTGGGTGACAGCCATATGCATCACTAGTCATTAACCTCATTTTCTCACAAATTAACAAATTATAAGAATACAAACAGATAGCCATATATAATTAAAAAAACCGTAAGGACTTAATTAAAAAAACAGACACAAGAACTTAATTAAAAAATCAAGTAAAATTACAGAGACTTGCATATTACTTTTATCTTTAATTTATACATTAAAATGTATTGACTTGAAATTGTGATGATAATTATTAAAAGCATGATTCTTTAATTCTTTTATTATATGCAGTGTGAATGAAA